CACCCTGCTGTGCTGCCTTCCTCCTCTCCCTGCTGTGCTATTTCCAGCCCACAGACTCCCAAGGCTTTGTGGGGAGGAGAAAGATCCTGGGCTCTGCGCCACCAGGCCTCCCGGCACATCTCGGCTCTGCCGTTCTCCTGTTATGGGACCTTGAGCAGAGAGGGGATGTGCTCTGGGTCTGAGTTGTGTGAGGACTGAGTGGGGTCAGGCATAAAGGGCTTTGTGTAGGATTGGGGGCACTGCAGGGATGTAGGCAGTACCCAGAGGGCCTTTGGCTTGTTCTCTCCCTTCAGCGTGCAGACAGCAGGGCCATTGACCTGGGTCCCCAGCCGGATTCTGGGGACTGTCCCTCCTTCCTTCCTGGTTGGCTGTGCGGTTCATCCCTGTAAAATTTCTCTCTGTGGTTCTCCGAGCAGGAGGGCCCACCTCAACTGTCCTGCAAAAGAGCCTTTCATAAGCCCCCGGGCAGCCACAGCCCCTAGGCTGGCGGGGGCCCATGAGCTGGTTTCTGCTTCTCTGATTTCACTGAGTTGTTCATAAGCAGAGTTCCAGTCCTTCTTCTTATGACTCTTAGGTGACAGGAACATGCGCAGAGGAAGGACCTGTCTGTGGAACCTACTTTTGCTTCCTGGGCTTTGGATGGGCTCTCAGACTCTGCGGAAGGACTTGCCCATCCGCCACCCCCAGACTCTTAGGTCTCACCCATTCCTCTCTGGAAGCTGATTCCCTTGGGTGTAGACAAGAGCTAGCATTCCCCGCCTCTAGCACGTCCTGCCTGCCCCAGCCTGGATCTGCTCAGACCAGCTGAAATTGTCCTGCTTGGACCCCATCTTCTCAGGGCCCTCTTCTAGCCCTGCCTTCCCCATTCTAAGGAGTCAACAGGCACCTGCACGCTATCTTCCCCAGTTGGCATAAAAAGCCACTCTCACCCCTTGCCCATAGATGCCATGGAAGAAGCCAAGGTTACTGAAGTTAGAGCCATAAAATCCTCATCCCAGCTCCTCGACTCACCAGTTTCATAATCGTGAGCAAATCACTTAAACTCTCTGAGCCACGAGTGCTCATATTGGAAAGGGCGGGGCGGAAGCTAATTGCCCTGTCCCCCCTCTACCCCGTGTACTGTGAGAATCAAATGAGATAATGTCTGTGAAAGTGCTCTGTAAACCAGAGGCTGTTATTACACCACGGCGGCCTATTATTATTAATAACTGGTTTTCCCCATTCTTCCAACTCTCCCTCCCTCTTCCGAGCTGACTTGCGGCTGAGTCTCAGTGGAGGTGCACCTATGGGGCTGGGAACTAGAAATGATTCTGCTTTGTTCACTGAGGAAGTCCCAGTTCCGCTGGTTGACACCCAGAGAACAAAGAAGGGTTAAAGGAGCTGGATGACAGAGTCTTTCTTGGATCGATGGTTGGTGGTCCCAGTGCAAGCCAAGATGGTACCTCTGCACTCAAGGCAGGAAGAAAGCCTGGTTCAGGCAGCAGCTCCAGGGCACTTTCAGCAGGCACTGCTTTCAAACGGGTCACTTCGTATGCCACTGCCAGTCTCTTGCTGGAGTCACCCGCATTTCCTGGAACCTCTGCCTCCAGACCTGCCTCTCTTACTCCATCTTCCCAGAGCTGTCTCAATGCCAATCTCTTCATACTGTTTGCTTAACGCCCACACCAAGTCGCCCTTGCCCTCCAGCTAAGGGCTGCCTGAAGCAGCAAGAGCTTCCGCTACCCTCCAGCCTCACCCAGGGCTCTCGCCCCCTCCTTCAGTGGCTGTCATCCGGCACCCTATTCTACACCACCTCCTCCTGGGGGCTCAGCTAGGTGCCAGCCCTGGCGAAGCCTGTCCTTGCTCCCCTACAAAGAGGGCTGCCTGGGATGTGCTTCCAGAGCTGCTTTCCCCCCCCCCCCCGCCCCATTAGCCGCCCCTCCCTTGGTTGTTTTTTGGCGTTAGGCTCTGTCCACCTAGGAAGCTGGAGCTAGCCCCGCCAATATCCTCATTGTGATGGTTTTGGCACTTACCTGGGTGCCCAGCAATGAAGCAGTGAATAGAAGCATTGGGTCCATGTCCACCACTTGATCCCTGGAAGCTGGGGCACTCAAAGATCTTAATGGAGAAACACAGATGGTCTCATTTTAAATGAGAACGAACAAACTTTACGACTCTTCATTTTTCTCTCCTAGATCTATCTTTAGCGCAAGCCAACTAGCTAATATGGCCTAAGATTTATCAAGTATTTAATCTGCACTGAGCACTTTACATGAGTCAGTTCCCTCAGTCTAACCAACCATGCTCAGAAGTGACTGCTGTTACTCTACCCCTGCTGCACTACCCATGAGGCACTGTGGTTCAGAGAGTACCAGTCGCTTGTCCAAGGTCACCAAGTCAGCAAGTGAGGAGTGCTCTTGAGCCAGAATCCATTTTCCTCCAAAACTCATGCTTTTAATTACTATAGCAGGCTGCAGGGGCTTTGGTATCATAAAGATCTAGGTTTGAATTCCTAGGACTCACATGTGTTAGTTGCAGCAACTTAGTGTACCCCCCCCTCTTGCTCCATTCCTTATTAGAATGTTGTGTGATAAACAGGATTAAAGCACTTGGCTTTGGGTAGATTTTCAATTTTCATTGACAAGTTAGTAAGACATAGATAGACCTTACATTTTTGTAATTCAGCAATATTTTAAGAATTAGGACTGATTGCTTTCTTCTTGAGCATCCTCTTGAAGTGTACGGGGGCTCCCTGCATCCTGGGGGACTTTGAGACAGGTTCATCTGCCCTTGGATGCCTGAGTCTATGAGAAGTGGCTTTGGCACACTCACCTGCAGCCTGCTGCTGCTCCGTTGTCTACTTGCTCAGAACCTTAGGACAAAGTCCCATCACTGTCCCTGGGCACCTTCCTGGTCATCCGAGGGCAGCCACTTTGTCACCACTGGACACTGGACTCTCATTTCTCCAGGCAGGATAATGTCAGACCCTACATACTTTTCCCATGAAGCAAGGGTCAGAGTCTCACTACCCGCCTATCGCTGGCCTAGAAGGGGCGTCCATGTGTCCACACCTTCTTAACCCACAAGAGCTAAGAGATGGAACAGCAGGGATGTCCACTGCAGCATTGATTACAAGGGTGAAAACTTGGAACCACTTAAATATTCCACAATGACAGATTGGCTGACTAGGTTACAGCACACACAAAAAGGACCCTCAGCTATGTCTGGGGAAGAAGGCTTATCAACCCAAAAAGAGGACTAGGGTGAGATGGAACACATAAAAAAACAGATGGCAAAGTAGAAGGTAATAGTGTTCACTAATTTGGGAAGAAAATCTGAAAGTGTTCAGGAGGGTAAAAGTGTTTTATCTCTGGGATGTGAAATTATAGGGGGTTTTCTAGGGGGGAGGAAGTATAACTTAGTGGTTATGAAAATGGACTTCAGAATCAGGCAGACCTGGTTTTAGCCTATTTTCTGCCACTTGAGAGCTTTGTCACCTGAGTTTCATAATTTGTAAAGTAAGACTAATAGTGCCCACCCCTATTGGTCGAGAGGGCGGGTCTAGCTCTGTCTCCTCCATGCTGGCCGCAGGCTACGTGCTCTGCTGGGCATTAATTGAGGTACACCTTCTCCATGAATTTCATTTTGCAAATGAGAAAATTAACAGCGGGACAAAGAAACCTGCCCTGATCCCACAAGGGAGCTGCTGACTGTCCCCACTCTGGGCACCTAGTTCTTTAAGAGCTGCTGAGGTAGGATCTGCTCTCTTTCATCCACATCTCCCTGCTGACTCATTCTAGACCCACTTTGCCTAAAGCCCCAGTATTTTCATACTGGCCATGTCTCCTCTATCTTCTAGTTGTGTTTTATCTTATTTATTTTTTTTGGACTCGAATGAACTAATTATTGATCAGACAGGTGGATGAAAAACCTGAGCATTCAAATCATACCATCGATTATGAGGAAGTCCAAGAATAAGCTTTGTGATAAGGCAGCGAGAAGTTGCCAGTCACGCTGCAGAACCCCAAAGGTAGAAACATGTTTTGAGTTTTGCATTTTTCCTTTTCTGCTCGTCTGGAAAGAGTGACTGGTCTTGATGAGAGAGTGGGTAAGCAGAGGGTCCATGACTGGCCTGGGAGGATGTCATTGGCCAGGGTTGCTAGGAGAATCCCAAGGCTGGGTCCTTGAGCAGAATATGGAGGCCAGGAGCAGGTGCCTGGCAGATCTGGGTCCTCATCCCTGCTCCCTCAGTCATCCCCTGTGTGGCCCTGAGCATCTTTCTAAATTATCTGAACTTCGTTTCCTTATCCTTAAAATAATAGCTGGGGAAACAGATTTCAGTACATCCACATCAACAAACACTAGGCAGACATCAAGAATGATTATAGAACGAACATTTCTTGACTTAAAAAAGATGGCTATGGTGTGTTGGCAAATGCAAAGAGCAGGTTGTGACACAGAATTAATTCAGAATGGAGCAGTCATTCAGATATGCAATGCGCCCAGGCTCTTGACTGTGCAAGACAATTTCAGCAAAAGGCAGAGGCACAGTGCCTTACACTTAGTAGGCATCTTGTGGTGATTGATCAAATCCCAATTGTGGGTACTTTTGGTGACTGTTCATTTAATTGCTAATTGAGAAGTATTGAGGTGGCACTGTTTGCCAGGCACTGTGCTGTGGATACCAGGGTGACACCCAGGGGAAGATGGGGACTGATCGGTGGTTCTTCAGGCTACAGCAGGGACAGGTTATCAGGGGAGGACGTGTTTGAGAAGAGTGTCAAAATAGGGACAGGAGTTGCCTAGGCAAGTGTGGAAAGAGTTCCTAGGATCAGTGTTAACCTGGGTAGGAAAGGCAAGAGGAGGGCAGGGTTGTGGGTGTGAGAGAAAGTAATGGCCCTGACTGATTGACTGGCTCAAGCTGTCCTAGGTAGAAAAAAATCCCAAGTATTCTTTCAAAAAAAAAAACAAAAACAAAAACTGTAAGCTCAACTCAGAATTGAATTCCATCAAGCCACTGATTCACACAGCAAGCATTTATTCAACATTTACTATGTGCTTTGCATCACGCTGGGTGCTGGGAAGATAACGCGGATGAATTGCTTCCAGCCATTTTCCTAAAGGTGCCTTTATTGGTGTAGCATTGACGGAGGCTCAGCCCTCCTCCAGGGGCATCTGCTGTGGTGATGGAACTCTTCTTTGCATTCTGCAAGGAAGAAATCGACACACTTTTTTACCTCCTTCTCAAAATTCAAAACTAGACATACATGTGACTCACTGTTTTATCTACTAACGTGCATTCTGATCAGACCCTGGCTTAGAGAGAGATGACTTACAAGGCCTTACAGGAATCAACCATGACTGTGAATGTGATCATTTGGTTTACTGATTTGTCCCACGCAGGAGAGGTGACTGGCCCAAAGTCACCTGATGAGTTTTCTGGGCTTGGAAGGAGATCTAAAGCTGCTGGTTACAGAGTCACTACTTTCTGATGCCTCCATCAATAAAATGCCTGCCACACAGTTGCTCCAGAATGAGACCAGGAGGGGACCCATCCTGTGGTTAATGTGACTGTGACCTAATCATCTGGCCACTCCCACTTCCACCTCCTTCCCCCATCCAGAGCTCAAGGTCAATCACTCAACTCTGCCTTGCCTCTCACAGAGCATGGCTGGCTGTCTCCAGCCCACTTGTCAATCGTCTGAAAATACCCATGGAACCTCGTCCAGTCTCCCCTGAACGGCCTCTCACTTGCTCCTCTGCGTGTCTTCTAGTAGACAAGCCACAAGCCCAGAGGGGCAATTAGGGATTAGGGGTGACAGCAGTTTGGTATTATTTCAGCTAATTGCTGTCCTATGTGTAAGAGTGCATCATCCCCACAGCTGGCCTGAGGAATCGTCACTGTAGAAGCCGTCCCGCCTTCTGTGTGATAGAGTCGGGTCTATAGATGGGGCAGGGGCTGTGAGAAGCTGCCGTGTGCACCCCATTGGTGGTAGAGGTTAAATGGGGCAGAGCCATCGGGTTCTCCCCACGGTGGCTGTTCACGGCGTGTGTTTGACTTAGTTTCACCATTCTCCTCTTGACTCCCCGTGTTCCCCTGACCCTGGCACACAGCACCCTGTGCTCAAATCCGTCATTATCTGCCTTCGATGGCACGTGGGCCATGAAGCCTTCTTTTCCTCTGTACTAGTTTTGGAGGTGCGGGAGGGGTGGGGTGATTGATTTGTATATGGCTGTCAGAGCAGGATGCCAAAGATTAGCCCTTGGCTGACTGAGGCTCTGAGCTCTAGAACCCGCTGCAAGGTCTCAGTGGACTTCTGAGCATGCCAGCTCGGATTTTCATTTATGGTGGTGTGACGTGGATCCCTGAGCTGATTATCTGAGCTAAGGTGGGGGCATCGCTGGACAGGGGCAGCACTGGGAATTGAATGCCCATATATATCCACTCCTGGAGCTCTTTGGAATTGAGGGATTGGGTAGTTTTTCTTTCTTTCTCCCTCCCTCCCTCTCTCCCTCTCTTTCTTTCTCCTTCCTTCCTTCCTTCTTTC